AGGGAAATGTAATTTCAGCTCTTTTTCCCACAAGCCGCTAATATCATTCCTAGGAGGCATTCAGTGAAAGAGTTTAGGAGAATAGTTTTTTTCTCTTCAATATCTCTCAGATACCCCCTCTTTATTCCATTCCCATGGCTACAACCTTGGTTCAGACCTTTTCATCCCTCCCTGGAGCTTCGCCACATCCCCCTCAGCCTGGCCTCACTCTCTCCTGCAAGTGACCGCAGGTGACCACCACACGCTCTCAAAAGCCTTTCCTTCATGACCTCTTTCGCCCACACAAAAAGATCTGGATTGACCAGCCGCCTTCTCCAGCCTCGCCTGCCATCTGTCCTCCAGGCAACGGGAGCCTCTAGTCCATGGATGGAAGAGAGCCTTTTGCAGCTCTGCCTTAAATGCCTGTTTTGTTTACCTAGAAAACTCCTACTCATCCGGCAGAACCCCAATGTCATGCCTTTCCTATTCCTTCATTCAACATACTGCATGTGCCCAATTGTTGGAAATCCAAAGGAGGGGAAGAAAAATGTGGGCCCAGATGCAGATTGGAGGAGGGGAAGAGAAGAGGAGAAAGAGAGAGAGAGAGAGAAGGAGAGCCTGGTGCTTGCAAGGAGCTAGAAGTAATTCCAGCGAGTCCAGGTGAGATGAGACCTGGCGGTGAGCTGTGAGGCTGGAGACCTAGGCAGGATCCAGACATCAAGGTCCTATGCTATACCACTTACGGCTAATATTTACTGTTCCCCGTGCTTGACAGGGATTAACCCACTTCATCCTTACACAACCCATGTGAGGCAGGGGCCATGGTCATTATCTCGTTTAGCAGGGCAGGAAGCAAAGGCAAAAAAAAAAGTAGCTTATTCAAGGTCACAGAGCTGAGTGGCAGAGCTGGACTGGGCCTCCAGAGCCCACGATCCTAACCACCGGGCTGTGCTGTCATGACGTTATCCCAAGGGCCTCAGTGGGAAGCCTAGCAGGTTCCAACAGGGAAATGGCACGATGACACATCAGCTGGGTACAAAGTGACGGGAGGGACTGGGCTGGAGCCAGGAAGTACAAGGAGGAGGTTATGATGGCCACCCTACCCCCAGTCAGAGGAGGCCTGAATGAGGCTGGTGGCGTGGAGACCACGAAGCTGAACAGAGTCCAGAGCTACTGGGGAGAAGGAATGGCTGGTCTCAGCCAGGGAGTGGGTGACCTGGGAGGCGGAAGAGGGAGGAGCGAACGGCCGAGGGCCTTAGCCACTTTCACTGTGATGGGAAACTGGAGGAGGGCCAGGCTGGGGTGGGGGCGGCAGCGCTGGTCAGTGTTTGGTTTCCCAGGCTTTGCTTGCAGGATTGCTGCAGCAATTTGTTGGCACTTTTTGTTTCCTCGTTGGTGAAAACGGGGACTAGGCCTCTTTATGTATTCTCCGCCTCATTCCCTGGAGGATTTGAGG